TAAAGTGTAAAAAAAATTTTTTTGAACTCACTATGGTATGCAGCCCAAGCTGGCCTTGAACTTTTCCTGCCTCAGCCTCCCCAGTGCTGGGATTATAGGCATGTGCCTCCATGCCCAGATAAAGTGGTAAATTTTATGCATACATCAATAAAATAAATATAAAAATATAAATATATATTCAGTATATACACTAGAATAAAAAGTTAACACATGAAAAGATAATGGTTTCAATGCAGGATGAATGAAAAAAATAATAAAATGGTTGACAGAAGTGGGAGTTGCAACGTTTCTTTTTAAGGATCAATCCTGTTTCCTTGGAAGATTGGCAAGAATGGCACCGAAGCCTTTAAATTCCTTTAAGGAAGGAATGGCTTCGGTGCTTGTCGCTGAGAATGGCTTCTCTTAGGTGCTATCAACCACTCCTTTACTTTCTGTCTCTATGGACTTCCTGTTCTGAATACTTCCTATAAAATATGGCTTCACAAAAATATGGCTTTTGTGCCTATTTTCTTGCACTTAGTATAATACTCATGTATGTTGTCACATATACTCCTTTTTATAGCTGAGTAATATTGTTTTATGTTGCCGTTTTTCTATATATCTATCAATCAGTGGACATTTGGGTTGCTTCTACCATTTTGCTGTTAATTTGAACATACCCCAGTCAATCACTTGGGTAGTATTTAGGATTCTTCCACTGACATAAGTATTCTTTTAACATGTATTTACTGAACATGGCTTATGTCTATATACCCTTCAACAAAAAGGGGTGTTGTCCACAAGTTAGTGATAAGTAGAGACACTTGATTCTCCCAGTGTCTTTTAAGGCAGTGAAATTTTCTGTGACTGAGGTTATCATAGTCCCTTGAACCTTTAAGAATGTGGCTTCCACAAAAATCTGCCTTCCTGAAAGGAGGAGAGCTTCCTTATGTGTAAGTTCCTGCAAACCTCTAAATGATGCCTTCTTGCAATTCTCTTTTTCCCTTCCATTGTTCAAAGCCAGGTAGCTGATTTTTCTACAAGGTCTTACACTGTCCAGCTATTTAACCTTTCTCGGGGCTGGGGATTTAGCTCAGCAGCAAAAGCGCCTGCCTGGCAAGCGCAAGGTCGTGAGTTCGGTTCCCGGTACCGGAGAAAAACCAAAAAAAAACCAAAAAACAAAAAAAACAAAAAACCTTTCTCTTGTGTGGTGGATTGACAACTAGTGGTCAGCTTGTAACACCCAGCTGAACTGAATCATTGCAGCGATGGATATGAGAGGCCCACCTGAGGATTGTTGCCAAAAGCATCAGAGGCAGAACTGGAGAAGAAGAGAGGCTGTGGGGAGCTGTTAGAAGCTATAAGGAGCTGTTGGTTCTCTTGGAGGAGCTCATCATGCTGGCTTTCCTGATGAACTTGGCTGTTCTCATCTTCCAAGGACCTCGGGGCCTTGTCGCTGAGAATGGCTTGGGTTCACTTTGGGGGAGCTCTGGTCCTCACTTTCAGCATTGCTTCCTGGCTCTGGAGGGGGAGATGGTGCACTTCTCAGTCTCCTGGAGAAGCTTGTCGCACTGGCTTTCCTGATGGGAACTCCGCTTTCCTCATCATCAGAGGAGCTGGAGACCTCACTGTTCCTGAGGATGGCTGTGGTACTTTTTGGGGGAGCTCTGGTTCTTATTTTGAGCATTGCTTCCTGGCTACAGTTCATATCCCTCAGCCTGCTAGCACAGATCCTTCATCCTGCTGGCACAGACTTTCTAGATTCCACCACTGACCTTTGGGCCTTCCCAGCACAGATCTGTGCAACAGGCCTGCATGAGATATTGTCATGGGCTCTAGGCCTCCAGTTGGACTCGTGGGAGGCATTGTTATGGGCTCTAGGTCCTCAGCTGGATTCACGCAGGACATTATTGTGGGATCCAGGCCTCTCAACTGCATTCTTTGGTTTTTAGTGTGTGGACAGATTTCCTCTACTCTCTTTGTATATGATTCTGTGGGTGACTATTATAAATAATCTTATAAAATATGTGTCCTGTATTATATTGTTCCCCTTGCAAAACCCCAAACTACAACACATTGTTATGAAGGAAATTTGTTTTTGTTTGGTTGTTTTATTAGAAGAGATGTTAGAAATCCTTGCTTCATATTTCTTGTATTGTGGTATTTGGTTTATGATAAGAATTCTGCCTTAAATTAGGGACCTCTCAGAGATCATTAATGTTTACACATTTAATTAATCATTTGGTTACTAAAAATTAAAGAAAGAAAAATGCTTCCATAGAGCTGAAGCTGCAGTATGGTCTCAGGAGTTCATTTTTGATAACTGTCATTTTTCAAGCACTAAGAAAATGTGCAAAGTAAAGCCCTCAATATATGGGCGGTTAGTAATATGGTGAATTTTGAGCATATTGTCTTAGATCTCTGTGCAGATGTTCCATGTAGCAATCATGGGAAATCAGTTTAAAATCTATTTCTTTTGAACTTTTTCTGTTAAGTGATAATTATTAAGAAATATAATATCATTTTACATGTCACCAGAACTACATATTCAGCAGAACATACAACCGAGTAGCCAAACAACATTTCTATGATGTTTGAGAATTCGGTATCTTCCTTGACACCATTTCTTAGTCTGGGCACTTATGCAAGCAGCAGCCTGTCACTTACAGCCTCTGTCATTTCCCGTTTCAGTTCATTAAACCTTAGACTTTCCCAGAAGCACACAACCCACATGGAGATCCTCTGCCGGACAGAAAAGACCAATCTAAAGGAGGTAGAAATTGATGTTCAACTCTAAGGGGGCATGAAGGCCACAATAAATTGCCACCTACACAGGGAATTTTATTTTGTAGGTTGACAGTGTGTGGGCAGAAGCAGCACTAGTTTATGTTCAGACCTCATAGTTGGGAGCTTACTTCATATTGACTGGATTCTGTTTGACTGCCAAAGGATAGATAAATTTCAGAAGCTGTATCAAGTTGGCAACATTTTATCTTGCTTTTTTTCCCTTAAATATAGCCTAAAGAAGTTATCAATATAGTCAGTTTACATACACAGGCCTCATTCAAAACCTCAGCTCTCTACATGGTTTTATTTCTTATTCTCTGATTTGCCACAAAAATCGTGAAAAGAATTAAACTTATGAACCAAGGTACAAGTACAATAGTTTGTACTGCAAATTCTAGGACTTCAGAATCACATTCATAAATACACTTACCCCAAGCCAGGGATAGTGGCACACATCTAAAATCCCAGCACTCAGGAGGCTGAGGCAGGAGGACTGTTGGGAGATTGAGGCCAGGCTGGGCTACAAAGTGAGTTCATGGTCAACCTGCACTACATAGTGAGACCCTGTCTCAAAAAAACAAACAAAAAACCCCAAACCAACTAACAAACAAAAACAAAACCAAAAACCAATAACTACAGCAATAGCAGAAAAATTGTTTGAATTTCATATCACACATTTGAGTTCATTAGGCTATTATCCCCAGGGCTGGATTTAACCAAAGAGTACAAGCTCAAAAGTTGACAAGAAGCAAGTCTTTGGCTTGGGATTTCTATGTTTGAGTTGTAAATCGGGTTCACAGAAAAGTAATCAGGAAATAGCCTGGCTGGAGACAAGAAAGCTCCTTGAGATGAGAGATGTGAGACCATGGGCTGCGCTTGTGACTTAGTCTCTTAACAAGCTTAGGGACCTTGAGCAAATTACTTAAACTCTCATTTGTAAAGGAACAGTCTTTGATGATTTCTAAAGCGCCCCCCCCCCAGCACTACTCATTTTTAGTTGTTGAACATTTTTCCTTAAGTCATTGATTAGTTCAATTAATTATCTATTTGAATACCTTCAGTGAACATAATAGAAGTAAAATTAACAGCTCTTTCCCTCAAGGAATTGATAACCCAGTGGGAAAGGTGAGAGGTTTATCCATATGGTAGTATAGAGACAAGGAGGGATGCTCATTTGTCCATCCGGGTTCTAAACAGAAGTCACAAGGGGCCTAGAGAGAAAGGAGCAGGGAAAATAGTACAAGAAACTCCTGAGAAGCAACTGGGAGAAAGAGAGGTAATTTATTGTTTCAGCCCACAAATGTTTACTGAGTGCCCAGTGTGTGCCAGGCACTGAGAGGAGTCCTGGGGATCTTGGGTTGGTAACTCAGCCAGGGTAGGCCTCTGGTGAAGCTTATTCACAGTCTGGTGGTGCAGAAAGAACAGGTGAACAAAGCAATGAAATCCAGATTGAGGAAATTTTGTGAAGGAAGAAAACAATAAAAAGTAAGAGAGAGTAAGTGCTTGTGAGTGGGATGGACTGCCCTTAGTAAAGGGCAGAAGGGGAAGGTCTTTGGATCCGGGGGCAGTTGACAGAGGTCAAACTAGTGGCAGATGACAACTAGGACAGCCAGGACAGAGGGGCTGGTGATCCAGATAGGGGAGCAGGTTAAAGCTGAGGCTGGAAAGAGCTGGTTCAAAAGACCATCTGTGTGGCTGGAACTTAAAAAGCAGTTACTTTTGGAAAGTATGTGATCAAAGCAGCACTCAACTGGAAGTGATTTTGCCCCTCAGGGGATATTTGGCAAAGTATGGAGACGGGTTTTTTGTTTATTTTTTGGACAGTTGACAGTACTGGAGAAAAAACCCAGAGCCTTACATGTGCTAGGCAAGCATCCTACTGTTGAGCTACACCCCCAATCCTCAGAGACAGTTTTGATTGTGCCGACTTGGGCGGGGGTGGGGTGGGTGTAAAATATTATTGCTGAGGCTGAGAAAACCCACACTAAAGGAGTTTTGCAGCCCAAATCGTGGTTTTAGGCATTATATTCTAAACTCGAGTTGTCACTACTTTGAATATATGTATTTTTTTCTTTCCCTGCAGGAACTAAAGAACAGGTGTCAAGCGGCCCATTCTTTCATCCACTCTCCTGGAATCCCATTGGAGAGGTTTGGGGAACTTCAGGAACCTTTAAAAAGCTTCACAAGGCACTAAATCTGTACTCAGACACGTGGGAAAGAATCAGAGGACATACACAAGGGGCTGCTCCCCGGGCTTGTCTCTGCGAAGGGACTGAAACAGGCGCAAGAGAAGAATATACTCATGTTTGCGGTGTAACGGGCCCACGAGTAGGGGAGAGGTGGGAGATGCCCTGGAGCCCTGCAAAGCTCTGTCCTCTGGACCGGAACTCGCCCTCTGGTGACGCCGGGGCCCTTCAGGTTCTAGCCTCCCCTCCCCCACAACGCCCTGCACTGGCCTCGGGTCTCCCTGGGACCACCTGGTCCGCCCTAGCTCCGCGGGTCTTCAGGGGCTCATCTCGGCCGGCAAGAGCCTTCTGAGGAAGCCCACGAGCGGGTTGTCCTCATCTATAAGCTGCCCAGACAGGGATGCCCCTGGCTTTGCTTCCCCTAGTTCCCAAGTGGGCCGCGAGCCCCGACGCAGGTCCCTCTGGCCCAGCGGCGCAGCTGGAACCCTCGCCAGGGTGGGAGAGGTGCGAGGGAGGCGGACTGGAAGCAGGGCACGCCTGGGGCCTCCCAACTGCTGCTCGCTCTTTGCATATTCATGAGTCCCAACAGCGAGGCCAGCCACCCCGGGCTATCCTTGGAGACATAATGAATTATTCATAAGAGGTATCTGGCCCCGCCCAGGAAGGGCTCCTTGATTATTCATGAGCCCCGTGGCAGTTGGAAAAGTCCGTTGGGTTCTGGTGAGAACAAGGCGTCGACCAGCCGAGGTGAGCGCTGTCCAGAGGTGAGATCTCTGGAGGAAAGGGCGTTTGGGTGTTGTTGGTTCTTTGGTCTTCAGGTTAGGAGTTATTTTTTTCTTTTCTTTTTACTTGATACTTTAGGATTAGTTTGAAAGTATTTTTGCCAGGGTCAAAAGTATATTGGGGAAAAGGGAAAAACCTGAGGCTGAGGAAGACCCAGGGGAGGCTCTAGATATCCCCACCCCACCCCGCCCAATTTTACACACACCAACCAACCAACAAAACAGAATAAAAGCTAGGTAGCTTTAAGATTTAGTTTTGTGGAAATGGAGGAGTCAAGCTTGATGAGATAGACGCAGCCATGTTTAGCTGCCAGCTGGTTTGTCAGGAGGATTGTCAGGCAGGCATCTGTGTACTGGAAAGAGTTGTATGTGGAGCCTTTGGGGTTTGTATTACCTGGGTCGGGTTTTCTGCAGCCATTGACGTATTCTGCCATAATCAATACCTGGTACAGACCAAGAGACAAGAGAAGTGGCGCTGAGTCCCCCTGGGATGACGTGGGCTCCCCTTCTACCTTACGAAGGATTTGCCATTTAATCTTTGTGGACTTTAGTTCCCTTAAGTATTACAAAGCAGGGAGTGTCTTGAAACTCAAGATTAGCCAGTCACCATAATGTGTTCAGCCACTGGGCGGGTTGTGCTATCCATCTTTTGCTCACTTGGTGAGAATGAAGTAAAAGCATGGTTCTTGCCCTTACATGGGTTTTAAATCTCATTAGGATGATAATCTAATTTCTTCTTCATTGGACCATAAATCTCTTGAGACGGGAACCATATTTTACATTTTATAATCCTGCACAATGCCTGGCACATTGTAGTTGCCTGGTAAATGTTGAATGAATGAATCACTGAATTAGCATGAAAAAGATATTTAAAAATCAAAACAGCATGAACAAATTCCCAATTAATGCACTGGAAACCACTTTCCCTGAGTGAGCAGAGAGTAGTGGAATTATCAGGGCCAAATGGAATTTGTTAAAGCAGTGAATAATAATTTATTGATGCAAGCTCTGTGAAAGGTTTAAGTAACAGGGGAACTCTGGTAAATGAAATTCCTTGCTGAGCTTCACTTTCCTTTTCTTTATAGTTTTATGTTTTACATTTAAATGTATGATCCATTATGAATTAATATTTATATGGCATGATATGTAGGGTTGAGATGCTTTTCTTTCTCTCTTTTCCTTCATTTCTCCCTTCTTTCCCTTCCCCCTTTCTGTTATTTGAGCACCACTTGTTAAAAAGATTATTCTTTTTCCCTTGAATTGGCTTCCCTTTTTTTTTTAATGAAGGGGTTGGATTAGTGGTAGAGGATATCTCTGCCCTCTTCCAGCTTTCTGAATCTTTTGAACCCACTTATGCTGACATGCACTGTCTTTGGGTAGTCACCTTTCCTATCATACATATGTAAGGAAGGTCATCTAGTTGCATTTCAGAATTCAGCTATTGGATATTATTCACTTGATAGAAATGAAATTTTCTTGTGAAAAATATGGTTTTGGAAGATTGGGAAAGATGGGTAGAGAACCATAGTGATTCAAAGACTATTAACTTTGAACGAACATAGACTTTGGCTTTTGCTTCACTTGGCATGCCCTGCCTCCCCCAAGGTAGAAAGGGTGGCTTAGGTCTTAAGAAAACAGCATCCAGTTAATCTTTATCTAAATTTTGGATTCATACCTAGAAAGGGTTGAAAAAAAAAAAAGGTAATTGTACCACCATTTAAAACAGAACATTTGAGATATAAGTCAAGAGGTAAGCCTGGAGTGAATTTTTTTTCAGAAACCACATGGAATTCTTGCCTCTTTTTAGAAAGATCATAATCCTTGTTACAGTGTCACAGAGAGGACATATCAAACATTAGAGTGAATGATATTGATGCGCTCTGAAGTTTCAGGTGTTTGTGGATTCAATATGCAAGTAAATGCATAAGCAAAAGACATTTGAAAGTGAGAGCTCTATTCTTAAAATCTATAGTTATAAAAGCTCCTCTAGCTTTTAGATTTTGAATCAGGACAAACCGATGGGGAAAAAAATAAAGCTATTCTCTGAGAGTGCATGATCTCTGAAGTCATATCTCCTGGGGCTGTCTCCTGGTGAGCTTTCAAAATTAAGCAGGGTTTGTACTTGAATAGGAGAGCTCCCCAAAACACTTGCTCAAACGGAAAAACAACAGTAGCAAAAGAATAGTTAGAGGTTGAAATGGGCCTTGTTATTTTGAAAAAACAATTTGGGTCTTTTTACCTTCCTAAAGCAAGCTTAGTCTAGAACACCAGAAAAAGATCTTATCATGGTTAAGAACAAGCAAACAAGTCAGCCCAACAAGTAGAGAGGCACTTGTAGCACATCATGTTAGAGGAATCGAAAGGACGTTTTATTTTGGAGAGTCAGTCTAGAAAAACTGTTGCACTGTGAGTTAAACTTCTTGCATTTTTAAGTCTCAATTCTGCTGCTAAGTGGCTGGCTGACCCTGGGTAAATCAATGCTTTCCTTGGACTTTTATTTCCTCATCTAGTAAATTAGATATTTGGACTAGATGACATTTAAAGTTCCTCTTTCCTCTAAAATTTTGTGATTCTTTTCTAGACCCTTAATTCTTCTTTGTTTCTATAGTGCTTCTCCATTTGGGTCAGCAAATTATTATTGAGCACCTACTTTATTCCAGTACTGTGATGATGTTGAGGGCTCAAGAATGAACTAAACAAGAGATAAAAAAAAAATCTCATATAATTCAATTTCTATAAGAACTGAAAATAAGCAAATCCATAGACATGAAAAGTATATTAGTGGTTGCCAAGGGCTGAGAGGAGAGAATGGGAGTGAATGCTAATGGCATAGGTTGTTTTGTGTTATTTTTTAGGGGTGATAAAAATGTTTGCAATTAGAGAGTGTTAATAGTTACGTAGCTTTGTATATACTAAAACCCCCTGAACTGCACCTAGCAGAAACCTTTGCTGGCCAGATACACCTTTGCCCTCAGGTTAGTTCATAGTGGGTAGTTGGACACATAAAGGCAACTCTGGCACAGTCTATATTGAAATGAGCACATAATCTGGACGTGGTAGCAGTGATAGTGGAAACTAGGAAATCATTCTTTGAGAAAATCATACGAAGCCATGTCCAAGAGATGAGTAAGAATAAGGAATAAAACGTGTTTCAGCCAGGGGGAATATCGTCCTTTGGGGTAATTAAACTAGATGAGAACAGCGAGTGCATAAAACTGCACAGAATATGATTAGAGGTGAGGCCAGGGAGGCATGAGCCAACCCTTGAAGCCATGGCAGGGAATGTGGATTTTATTCTGAGGGTAGTGGGGAACCATTGAAGTATTTCAGTCTGGAGAACAATACATAATTAAGCTTGTAATTTAGAAAGAAAGCTCTGGCTGCAGCACAAAGAACACATGGAGAAGGGTAAGACCGTGATAGGCAGGCTGGTGGTTGCAGTGGTCCAGGCAAAAAATGTGGCTGGTGTAATCTAAAGCAGAGAAAACAACAGTACAGATAAAGTAAGAGGTGGACACACATTCGAGAAATAGTAAGGTAATTGGACAGGGAAATAAAGAAGAGGTCAAGGTTAAGTCATATGTCCTAGGCTTGAGCAATTAGGTGTTTGATGATGTCATTCGTTTATTTAGTGAACATACATAGGTTTTTGGGGAAAAGAATTCACATTTGGCTGTACTGAGGACATCAAACTAGATCTATCTAGTGGACAGTTAGAGGTATGTATCAGCAGCTCCCAAGAGTAACCTGGGCTGGAGAGAGACATAGGTAGGTAGATACAGAGACAGACAGAAAGATAGATAGATATCTCTGGAATAGAAATAACAGTTGAAAGAGTGGGAGTGTAGTTTTAGTCCTGGAAGTGTGTCTAAACATTAAAAAAAAAGAGCTCCTAGGACAGAATCCCTAATAACACCAAAATGGCAGGGGCAAAAAATGACAGGAAAAGAAGTGTAAGGAAGCAACTGGGAGACTGGAGGAAAGTGAGGAGATTGAACATTAATATAAGATTTTTATTTCTATTTATTTGTTTATTTATGTGGTACTGGGCATTGAACTGAGGCTTTTGCATTGAACTACATCTTTAGCCTTTAAAATTTTTTTTAAATTTTGAGACAGTATCTCACTAAGTTGATAAATTGTCCAGACTGGGCTTGAAGCTGAAATCCTCCTGCCTCAGCCTCTCAGAGTGCTACAGTTGCATCACACTCAACTAATATTTTTAAAAATCAAACATGCTTTATTATATACAATGAAACATGTCTTAGAAAATGTTTCAAGTACTTTACAGATATGGCTTATTTAATCCTTGAAATAATCCTAGGAAGTAGGTACAGTTATCATCTCTAGTTTATAAATGGGGAAACTAAGGCACACAACTTGTACAAGGTCGTATGACAAGTGAACTGCTGACTGTTATGTGATCCTAGGTAGTTTGGCTTCAGAAGAGTCCAGTGCTTAACCACCATATTATACTACCTCTCCAGATAAACACATGCTTGGATAAACACTGAATGAGCCCTGAAATATGGTTCTAAGCTAGATCTGCTTTCATTCTGCCACAAGGAAATAAAGTTCCAGAGAAATTAAGTAATTTGACCAAAGTCACACAACTGCCAGGTAGTGGTGTCAGAATTTGAACTCAGTTACCTTAACTCCAAGGCCTCTTTCTACTAGATTATATTATGATCATTTTCCTCTGAATACATTTGTGTGCATAAAATTTAATTTCACTTATTTTACAAATGTTAATTCCTAGAGGATTTATCAAATGCTAGTAGAGCCTACCTTGAATCCTTTCTCAAAAGCAAATGCCTTGGGTGTCTCGAAAGTTTTCAGTGATATTATCAACTTAATCCAGGCCATCATACATTCTAAAAATATAGGTGCAGTTATGCATTGTGTTCTAATTAACTTATGCTATTTTCAGGGCTTGCTTCTCTAGACATACCATCAGGATGTCTTTTGATCATAGAGAAACAACAACCACAAAACCCCTCTAATATAGAGAGCTATTTAAAAATCATTATTTCCCTATTTATTGTCTCCAAAACTAATAACTACCCCAGTAGGAGGTCATGGTTTAATGGTCTAGAACTAGACCTTGACCTCTTATACCTTTTTCTCTCCCTTCTTCATTTTTACCTTTGAAATTTAAAGGAGGCAACAGAACTGTTAAGTCAGATTTGAAGGTTATATTCTCTGAAGTCAAAAAGGATACTTTGGAATCTTTAAGGACTAGAAGACTATTAGGTAGTTTTTCAGTCTCATATAAAATATTGTTAGAGTGTCCCCTAGTGCTGCTCTGAAGAAGTAATTTGAGAGAAATTAAGTATTGCTTGTTTATAATCTCTATCACCACCTTGTGGCAGTGTCCTCAAGAAATTTTACCCTCTTATTTGCAAAAACCTTCCAGAGACCTGCATTAATAGTTAATAGAACAGGTCACAGGCTATCCTGCAAATTCCATTAAGAACGGAATATCTTCAAATAGGTGCTTTTATAAGTATTTTGGTCAGAATTCCATAAAATCTTGAAAAGAAGCCCCAACTGAAATTAAGGCCTTTAAAAAGAAAAAGGAAGATTTTCTTCTTCTCCTATCTTTTTTCTTTTCCTTCTCTTCCTCTTCCTCCTTCTCCTCCTCCTTTTTTTTTTTTTTGTATTGAAACAGGGTCTCATTATGTAGTTCAGACTAGACTTGAACTCACTGTGTAGTCCAGGCTAGCTTTGAACCCGTGGTGATCTTCTTGCTTCAGCCTCCTGAGTGCTGAGATTACAGGGCCATCATGCCTTGTTTTGTTACTTTTTTAATTGTGGCAGACTGTATGTAACATAAAACTCATCGCTTCAGCTGTTCTCAAATATACAATTTAATTTAGTGGTTCCATGCACGTTCACAATGTTGTGTAACCATCACCATTATACATTTTTCAAACCTTTTTCATTTCAAACAGAAACTGCACACATTACATTTCCTCATTCCTTCTATCCCTTCATCCACCTTTATGCTGTTTCCTATCTCTATGAATTTACCTACTGTAAGTAACTTTATATGTGAAATCCTTTTATGTTTGGGTTTTTCACTTAGCACAGTGTTTTCAAGGTTAATTTCCTTTGTAACATCTATCAAAATTTTATCCTAAAAATTGGATAATATTCCCTTGTACATACCACATTTTATTTACTCATTCATCTACTTTTTTTTTTTGAGACCCAGGCTGCTCTTGAACTCCTAGACTCGATTATTTTGTCTCAACCTCCCCAGTAGCTGGCACTGTTGCCACAATACCCAGCTGTTTATCCATTCATCTGTTGATAGACATTTGGGATGCTTCCATCTTTTGGCTATTGTGAATAATGCTGCGATAAACATTAGTGTACAAGTATCTGTGTCCTTGTTTTCAATTTTTTTTGGCTGTATACCTAGAATTTGAATTGCTGGACCATGGTAATTCTGTTTAGCATTTTGAAGAAGTGTAATACTATTTTCCACAATGGCTGGATTATTTTATATTCCCTCCAGCAGTGGATAATGGTTTTAATTTCTCCATATCTCCTTTTGTTTGTTTGCCTGTTTTTTGTTTTGTTTTGTTTTGAGACAGGATCTCACTGTGCTTCAGGCTGGCCTTGAACTCACTATGTAGCCCAGGCTGGCCTCAAACTGCTGGTAATCCTCCTGTCTCAGCCTCCCGAGTGCTGGGATTAGAGGTGTGCAGCACCACATCCAGCTTCCATATCTTCTTTAACACTTATTCTTTTGCATTTTTTGGAATGGTCATTTTGATTCCTACGAACTGTACACATTAACTTTTGTTTTTGAATTTGCAAACAATTTACACCTGAATTGAATTCAAGAAATGTTTTTGAGCCCCTGCTATGTAGAAAGCATTGTTATACTCTAGGGGAATAACAAAGATGAGTAAGATATATTGTTGAGTCTTTAGGTGACTTATAATTTATTTTTCTCTCCCTAATATATTTATGAATGAGCAAATGATCTTACAGTTTTCATTGGGTGGTTGAGAAAATTAATCCAGAGACCTTATGCCACATATGTAGAAAATTGGTAATGGAGATTAAAATGCTTATTAAACTTCTTTACTGAAACATACAGTCAGCTTACATTGTTCTCTTTTGGAAAATTCACATCAAGGATTTTTCCAAATCAGATTCATTTTATAGTTTAGATAGGACCTGCTAGGACTATTTCAGTGTTCATTCTTCCTTTGTGTCTTCAAAATTGAGCTTGGTAAATTTCTCTCTAAATTGAAGAATCTGGGGAATAGTTCATACTTAATTGTCTTTGACTTTAGTTTCTTTTTTGTTTTTAGAAGTTTCTAGTTTTACCTTTGGGCAGAGCAAGATAGGAAGTACTCTAATTACGATCTCTAATTAATTTTTTTAACAGGTTATATTTGTTGAAAGACTCCTGATCCATTCCCATGATGTCTACTCAGCTCTGTCGCTCTATCAGAACACAAAAAGCATCTAAGGTATCTGTTAAGAATTAAATCAATGACCATTTAGTGAGTTACTTCAGAATCATGACTTTAATTTTTTTTAGTAGCAGTCTTATCAGTTAATTGGCACATAATATCCTTGGAGAGTATGTTTCTACGTTTTAATTGCCTAATGGAATGAGGATATTCAGAAAATTAAAATAAATTACAAAGTTACTTGTTTCATGTCAATGCACTTTGACCTTCTAGAGTAAAAGAAATTGGAAATGAAAAGGCAAAGAGAATGGTTCTCAATTATATCTTTCTTTTCTGAAGCAATTATAAAACTCATGTTCTACATGGTGATGTAATTACAGGAACTAAAGGGATGTTAGGGTTTGTGTTTAGATGTTCCCCCAAAGTCTCATGCAGTCATAGGTGAAGCTTTTTCAGGGGTGGTTGGGTCTAGGGTGTGTGATTGATTCATGGTGCAATGCTAGGATTAAGTGTGAGTGATTACTAATCAAGTCTACTGATTGGTTTGGCACCACTCTAATCCTTGTAGCCTGGATAGACTATAAAAGGGGCAGAAAAAAGCTACTAAGGTCCTTTGCTTGCTTGCTTTCTTGCTTTGCTATCTTCTGCCCGCCATGAACTGTTTCTCCTCTGCAATTCCTCTCTGCTGTGTCACCCTCCCTTGCAGCTAGCCGATTATGGACTGAAACCACTACAAACTGTAAGCTAAATAAACCTTTCCTCCCTTACCTTGTGGGTGTTGGGTATTTTGTCTCAGCAACAAGAACAGTTAACTAATATAAGGAGAAAGCTCTGAGAAACTTGGATGCTAGGGGCCCGAGGGAGTGTTAGTCAACATTCTGTAGCTGTGACAAAATTCTTTTTTTTTTTTTTGGACTGGCAATCAAACTGAGGACCTTGCGCTTGCCAGGCAGGTGCTTGTGCTGCTGAGCTACATCCCCGGCCCCAGAATTCCTGATATAATCAATTTAAAAGGAGGAAGAGTCTATTTTGGCTCATAGTTTCAGAGGTTCAGGCCATAGTTGGTTGGCTCCATTGTACTGAGGCCTAGTGCCGAACATAACATCAAAGCAGGGTGTCTTAGTGACTTTCCTCCTTATTGAGACAAAATGCCCAGCACCCCCAACTTAAAGGAGGAGAGGTTTATTTTGACTCACAGTTGGAAGGGCCTGCTGAAGAGGAAGGCTGCTCACTGCGTGGTGACTAGAAGCAGAGAATTTAGAGAGGAGTCAGGAAGGAAGATACACCCTCCTAGGTTGTGCTCGCAGTGACTCACCTCTTCCCACCAGACCCCACCTCCTAATATCAATCCAATTGCCTTTGAAAAGCCCCAGATATGAGCACATGAGGCCTGGGGGGGCCATCTAGATATTACCTATAACACAGGGAATGTGTAGTAGAGGAAAGATGATCACTTCATTTCAGCTGGGAGCAGGAAAAGAGAGAGAAGGGGACAGGGTCCCAATATCCACTTTAACCACACTGCCCCAGTAACCTTATTTCCTTCTAGTAAACCCCACCTCCTAAAAGTCTCAACATGTCCCAATACTCAACTGTGATGAGCAAGCCTTTAATATGTAGCCTTTGGAGGACATTTAAGATTCAAACCATAATAGGGAGCATGCCAGAGCCAGGCAGTCTTGTTGGATTCACCCAGGGAAGTTTAGTTTGTCCCAGGACATTTATGCATCATTTTGTTTATTCATTGTATATATTATATAATATGTATGTGTCTTAGTTACTTTTCTCATTGCTGAGACAAAATACCTGACACCCAAAGTTAAGGGAGGAAATGTTTATTTAGCTCAGTTTGTAGAGGTTTTAGTCCGTAATCGGTTGGCTCTAAGGCAGGGTGGCACATGGCAGAAGGGCAATCATTCAAGGCAGTGGAAGGCAACAAAAGAAACAAATGAAAGGAGGGACAAGCCTCTTTCTGTCCCTTATATTATATGCAGACACCCACCCTAGGGTGGATGTCACACTCACACCATTAATCCCACTATTGGACCACGAATCACTCACAAACTCTAGATTCAGCCACCTGTGAAAAGCCTGCCCCCTCAAGGACTGCATGAAGCTTTCGGGGGATATCTAGACAAAAACCATAACAGTATATAATACTGTGATATTTTCTGTGATAATATTTAAAAGACGTTCATCTTCTAGATGTTTATAATGTAGTTAGGAAAATAAGATTCATAGGAGCTAGCCATGTATGGTGATGTACACCTGTAATCCTAGCACTTGGGAGGCTGAGGTAGGAGGATCACCATGAATATGAAACGACCCTGGGCTACATGATGAGACCGTGTCTCAAAAAACCAAACCAAACCAAACCAAACCAAACCAAACCAAACCAAAATAAGATTTATAGGAGTTAAATGACTATACCTATATTTACATATACGTGAAAAGAGTATGACAAATCAAACTGTAGGAATTTAGAGGTTTAGTATATACTGAATGATTTATATATTTCTCATGAAGAAGGTGGACTCAAGCTGGATCTTGAATAATGAAAGAACAAAAAATGATGAAATTCTCTCTCCTTTGTCTAGAAGGCAAATTTTGGATTGAGGATAGAGAACTTCACAAGGGAAACCTAGCCTATGCCTTGGCTCAGATAAGAAACAAGCATGGCATATTTCAGAGAATAACAAAGAAGCCCTCTTTACTAGAGTGGAGAGCTCATCCTATTGAACAGAAAGAAATAAAGGTGGATAAGAACTTTGGGAACAGGTTACTGTGAATCTTAAGAGCTAAGCTAAGGAATTGATGCTTTATTCTATAGTTAACGCAAAGTTGGAGGGTTTGATCAGAACAGTAAGTAAAATAATTGTTATAAAAATATTAAATTACACCATATAGTGAAGATGGAAGTTGAAGGAGAAATAGGGCAGAGAGAAAGCAGTCATCTTTCTGGCTTGATTTCGGTATTCTGCACTCACAAAGCAGACTCTTGGTCTCATTTGGTTTCCTAGGTGTGCTTCCTTCCCAGGAGCAAATGATGAGCTAGGTATATGAATTCCAATCAACTTGGCAGTTATTTTCCTCACTATAAATTAACAAACTGACCTTTTGATGCAACCTAATCTTTGTTGTTTGGACTGTATCACCTACCTCTCCCAGTAAATTTTAAGCTACTGTGTGATTCTGTTATTTAGTACTAAAAACAATAGTAATTATGGAAGCCAACATTTATTCAGTACTTAACTATGTTCCAGGCATTGTGCCAATGGCTTTATGTTATTATTTCAATTAAACCTTGCCATAAGGAAGAGATCAAAGCTCAGAGAAGTGAAATAAATTGCTCAAGGTCATGTAACTTGACAGCTAAGCTGTTAAACATTATGAAGGCACTAGCAAAATATATTGTTGGAATAATTTTATAATACTGCTTTCTATTTCCAAGCTATAGTATTTTTATGTATTAGACATTTATAAAACATCAATAATAACTCTTAACATGTTAGACCAGCCGAGCTGAGGAAAAACACCCTAAAGTAACAAAACTGTAGAGACCTTTCCCAACTTACTGTAAATGACCATTTGGATATTATATTTAAAATAAATGTCTTTATACTTTCAAGCTATTTGGTTTTACAAATGGGTTATGCAAGCAAGTATTGCCTCTATGTCTTGAAATATTTTCCATAAGAAACTACATGCATACCATGCCAGCTGTTTCCCAATCGCCCCAAATAATCTTAATTCCTTAAGATTTGTAGCAATTTTTTCAAAAAGCAGTTTTTTTTGGAGACAGGGTCTTGCTATGTATTCCAAACTTGACTTTAACTCACTGGATAGCCTAGGTTGGCCCTGAGCAGCTCCCCCTTCCTCACCATCCTAAATGCTGAGATTACAGGCATGCATCACCATTCCTGGCTCAAAAAGCAATTTTCAAAAAAAAAAAAAATTTACATGTGTGCACCCCAATACATCATATGTGCAAGAGTCATACAATTATTATATATTTTAAGAACTGAATATAAGATGAGTGTGGTGGCACATGCCTGTAATCTCAGCACTCAGGAGCCTGAGGCAGGAGGATTACTGTGAATTTGAGGCCAACTTGAACTACATAGGAAGACCCTTTCTCAAAACAAACAAACAAACAAACAAAAAACAGACCTGAGTATAGGATTAAACAAAAGAATAAAGTGATCATTCATTGCCTCTATAGAGTGTACCAAAGAAGAAGCAGTCCTATATAGCATAACCATGCTCAGAATGTCTGACAAACATTCTAGAACTAGATCTGTAGATATAGAAGAGCTTTTTGGAAGGTTTTTTTCTTCATTTAAAGACATATTTCTTGTTAGTACTTGCCTCTAAATAGCAGAATTATTAAAACTTTAGTAGTTGAACTGTGTAGTATAGTAAAAGACTCATGTCACTTGCTGTCTCTGTGATCTACCAAATCACTTACCTTTCTCTTTGGTACCTGTGATATGAGTTTATTGTTTTAGATAAGTTCTAAAGCCCTTTGAATTTTAAAATACTGTACAAACCTAAAAAAGGAACTTAGATTTGATCTAAATCAAACCAGGTAATTGTCTCAACTTTTTTTTAAGTTGTCTCAACTTTAATCCGAAGAGAAAGGGTTCTCTGTTTTTAAGGCTCTGACTATGAATATTAAAATCATTCTACTCAGTTGGTATAGTCTCAAATCAACTGTAATAGCTAAAGCTTATTCTTTTGCTAAGGTTTGGAATCCCCAGAACCTAACAAAATTTGTTTCATCATTTGGAGGTTTACTAGGAATGAAAGTTTGTAAATATTACTTGATCTTGAGAAGATCTTCATCAGCTTTTGAAGACTAATACTTTGTTGCACGTACGAAACACTTCCTAGCGCTGGGGAGGTTTTTTTTCTTTTTCTGACTTTCTTTTCTTTTTCTATCTTTCTTTGTTTCTTTGTTTCTTTCTTTGTTTCTTTCTTTCTTTCTTTCTTTCTTTCTTTCTTTCTTTCTTTCTTTCTTTCTTTCTTTGACACAGGGCCTCATGTAGTTCAGGCCT